CTTTCCCAAGGTCACACAGCGACACACAGAGCATTGGTGTCAGAGGAGGGCCCGGAACCCAGGTCTTCCGGTGCCAGCCCGGTATCCTTTCTACCGCATCCCACTGTGACACTGGTATGCCCTTTGCATCAAACTGCAGAGCAGCTCACATGCGTTCCTCTCCTTACTTTTAAAGTCTTCCCCCAGAAATAATCTCAGGTCAGATAGTGTTCTCGTGGTTTGTAGAGAGGGCACTCTGGGGAAGGGTTAGTTGCCTTCACAGGGGTTGGTGACAGAGAAGATTCTAGAAGAGTGCTGCTTCCTGGTCAGGGGAATCGAAACAGACTAAAACCAGTAATGACTGGCATGCCTTGGTAGCAGGCGATCCCTGGATCTTTTCTGGAAGGGCCTGCGCTCACTCTGGCAAATTGCCACCCATCTCTCTCTGCTGGCGGGGGGGAGCCCACACCCAGAGGTGCCAGTTGCCCAGGACTCAGTGGGTGTCAGTGGGGTCAGGGAACTGAGTTCTAGGACAAATGGGAACCTCTCTTAGATCTGGCTGAGCTGCTCTATTCACCTGGGGAAGACGGAAGGGCCCGTGGGGAGGATCAGCCATGGGGGCCAAGCCGGTTGTCCTGGCCCCTGGTGACAACCCCTGGGCTGACAGGCCAGATTTGCAGAATCCCGGTCTGGGGAGGGTGCAGACACTCCAGTTAAGAAACAAACAAGCAAGCTACAAAAAAAATTGGGGCCGGCCCGGTGGCACGGCAGTTAAGTGTGCATGTTCTGCTTCCGTGGCTCGGGGTTCACCAATTTGGATCCCGGTGTGGACATGGCACCACTAGGCACGCCGTGCTGTGGCAGGCGTCCCACATATAAAATAGAGGAAGATGGGCATGGATGTTAGCTCAGGGCCGGTCTTCCTCAGCAAAAAGAGGAGGATTGGCAGCAGTTAGCTCAGGCTAATCTTCCTCAAACAAAACAAAACAAAACAAAACAAAAAACGAACAAGCAAACAAAACATCATCCCTGTGAATTGAACATCCCAGAGATCGGAGACTTGAAGGAATTGGATTGCGTTGTTCACAGGTTCCATCCCCTTAAAGTCAAAAAACACTCAGCAATCAGCCCACCCAATTACTACTCCACCTTGCTCTCCCTAGGGCAGGGCCCTCAGAAGCACTTTTGAAGGAGAACTTAGAAAAACTCTTCTGCCCTGGCTATCCCCCAACTCCCTCCAATGCCCCCCCCCCCGCCCCCGTCCCCAAGTTGTGGCCAGATGAGCCTCATGTGACGCCTGCTATTCCAAAGTGGAAATGCAGCTCCCAGCCACAAAGCTCACCAGCCATCTCATCTGCTGCCACCTCCAGCCAGCCGGTGGGCCCCTGGACCAGCGGACACCCTGCTGCAGACACTCAGGTCCCACGCTCCCTGGTTCCCTGCCCGGGGCCCACATCAGGGCTTTCTGTGCAGCCCTTGCAGTAGGTGGAAGGACCTCTTCCAGCAGGCCCGGTCCCATAGCGCCCTTCACCAGTAAGCCCCCGTTCCCAGGCCTCTTCTCCACAATCCTCGCATGTCCCTGGGAGACTGGGTCGCTCGGTTCTTCTCCCATGGAAGAAGAGAAACACCCTCCCCCCACCAGGGCCTCGAAGTCCTCTCTGAGGCCACAGCCTTCCATCGAAAGCCGGCTCACACATCCCCTGCTCCTTCCACTAGGTCCTCTCCCCTCCCACCATCCCACACCCCCTCACAGCACCCCTCCACCACCCTGCGAGTGGTGTGGCAAATCAGGGTGACAGTGCCAGGCATCTTGGCTTCCTCTCCTCCTCCAGGCGCTGCCTGCTAAATATACATCCAGGAGGAGTCCAGACAGGAAACACCACAGACCTCGTTAACTCTTTCACCTCCGGCAGCTGGGAGTGGGCAGACATGGGGGGCGGGGGCCTGGCAGTCCCCTGGGAGGGGCGCCCAAGGCCAGATTGGAGGAATCACTGCCCAGGCCCAGCTGGAGGGGCGAGGACCAGCCCCTTACACCAGGCCTGGAGGATGGAGTCCTGCGGTGGGGTAGTGGGGGTGAACTGTGGGAGAGAGACCACTGTGCCCTCACTGCCCCCTCCCCACTCCCGCCCAGAGGAGGAAACTGAGTCAAAGGAGGGCAAGTGGGACTCTGTTGTTTAAATCTCCTGGAGGCTGTAAGGCTAAGTCAGGCCCTAACCCACTTTCTCCAGAAAGAACTGAAGGGCTCTCCTTTCAACAAGAAGGTGAGGCAGTGCCGGGCAGGCGGCCCAGCTGCTCCACAGGTGAGTCACCTTTTCAGGCTTCTTCAGCAGAGGTGTGAAGGCCTGCACCCTCCCACTGCCCTGACTGGTGGGTGAGCGCCCCAGCATGGCACCCCCAGCCCAGGCAGGCCTGCCCGCCCGCCCACCCACCCAAGGTGCCCCCAGAGACCCCCCAGGCCTCCTAGCCAGGAATGCGGGGCTGTAGGCTGGTGAGGTCGGCAGGGCTGTGGCGGGGGACTGAGGTGGGGCGGGCAGAAACTCTCCTTCCTGCTTTGTGACCAGAGGGAGGAAATCAACAGCAGCTCCTGGGGGGACATCTCCAGGAGCAGCAGCAGGCATGGGCGCCATCTGCCCTGGGTCCCATGACTCCCTGGGGGGTTGGCAGTCTCCTCCCTCCTCACCTTCTGTCCCCTTTTCCTCCACCCTTGTCATGGGGGCTGCTGCCAAGGCCCAACCCCCCTTGGAAGATAGGATGCCCCAGTGTCTGCCCTGGCCAGGAACGGCTGGCCAGGAATGGCAGGGGGCCGTTCCTGGTGGAACTAGACGGGGTGGGGCGCATGGGACCCCAGAGGCACTGTCTGAGACCCTGGGGCTCTGAACACAGGCAGGCTGAGCTCCCCATAACGGGGAAGGCAGTTCAGCTGAATCTGAGGCCAGCGGGAAGGGCTGGCTGGACCCTGCCAATGGAGGGTGGAGGGTCGAGGGCGATGGAAGGGCCCTTCGCACAGTGTCACATACAGGAAACCTTTCCAATCACCAGAATGATCTGAGAAAACTGCAGCAACCTGTGGGCCTCCTGGGCTGGCCAACCCCTGGGTGGCGGAGGGACGTGGCTTCGGGGTGGAGGAGAGTGACAAGAGGAACAGCTGAGCCCTCCACCCAGTTGCTCCTTGCTGGCTGTGGGCCCCAGTGCCGGCATAGTTTCTTTGCGACAACTTGGATCTTCCTATAAATCCGGCTTAAAGCCTGGCCCTTCGGCTCTCGGGCCAGTCCATCCTGCCGGTCCTGCAGTGCCCCCTGCTGTCTGATCCCATAGTGACAGGCAAAAGGGAGAGTTGGGCTTAAGGTCCTCTGAGGCGCTCCAACTCCTCCACTGACAAAGGAGGCAGGCCGTAGGGGGCAGCCGAGATTCCCAAGACACCCCCACATCAAAGACCATCCCGTTGCCCCTGCCAGCACACCTATACCTTGGCCCACAAAGGGGCTCAATGTCTAATCCAGACAGCGTGGTCTTGCTCTCCCGGGGCCCCTCCCCTGGGCCGGGTCGCTGAAAACAGCAGATCCCCAGAAGCCTGTCCCCCTGTCCCCATCGTGCTCTCTGCCACCCCGCACCCTGGAGGGACGTGCTCAGCTGTGGGTCCCTTTTACCCAACCAGGCTGCCTCTTTTTTGGGACAAAAGGAAAAAGGGAAAAGAACAGTAAACACCTCCAGAGGAAAGTGCAAGTGAGCTGAACGTAAGGGTGAGGCAGCGGCCGGGACTGGGCAGTGAGTGCCCGCCTGCGGGTATTGACATCCAGGAAGTGCTAACGGGGACCCTCCGCCACTGCTGGAAAGTTGAGCGAACCCACGAGCCCAATGCAGGGAGGAAAACGCTGTCGGAGGCGGAAGCAAGCAAGGGAACCGAGGAAAGCTGGCAGACCATGTACTTACTTTCCAGCCGGAGGAAGGTGTGGGTGGCGGAGGGAAAAGGGGGCCAGCAGCCCAATCACGATATGAAAATAAAGAAGACTTTTCTGAATGCAAAGGTCCTCTCAGTGTGGAATTGAAAAGATCTATAGCAGACTCTGGGAGCTTCTTAAAGAAAGACAATTGTCCGCGGACACCTCTTCGTCAGGGTTTAATCAAAAACGTCAAGATCTTCCAAGCACCCATGAAAAAAGGAGAGGTCGGGCTTAAAGACACAGGACTGATGGAGAATCCTGCTACACTGGCCAGAAGGAAGAGAAAGGTGGAGGGACACGTCATCCCAAGCTGAGAGAAACATGGATACACAGCCAAACTAACGTTTCTCTTTAAAATAATCATAGTGTTACAGGCTGAATTGTTCCCCTCCCCCCTAAATTCACAGGTTGAAGGCCTAACACCCCTGGACTGCAGAATGTGGATTTAAAGAGGAAATTAAGTTAAAATGGGGCCATTAGGGTGGGCCCTAATCCAGTCTGGCTGGTGTCCTTATAAGAAGAGGAAATTTGGACCCACAGAGACACGACAGATGCGCCAGCACAGAGCAAAGACCAGCTGAGGACACAGAGAGAAGACGGCCGTCTGCAAGCCAAGGAGAGAGGCTTCAGAAGACACCAACCCTGCCCACACCTGGATCTCGGACTTGAACCTCCACCAGTGTAAGAAAATTAATTTCTGTCGCTGAAGCTGCCCAGTCTGTGGAACTTGGTATGGCGGCCCTAGAAAACTAATACACATAGCTATAACAGACCCGAAAACAATTTGTCAACCAACTTCCAAACCAGCAAAAATGCTATGTAGGCTTGTGAAGAAGTGAAAGATGCTTGAAATATACCTGCCCTCCAACATTAACAAAGGGTTGGTGACGGAACGGAGGATCCACGGACAAACCGGACAGCGGAGGGGGAACTGTAAGAAGAAACAGAACTTCAGAAAGGAGTTCCGTGAGCCGCAGCATTTCAGCAGCTGGGCTGGTGGAGGCCACACGTTGCAGCCCGTGCTCCTCCGGAAGCCGCTGAGAGTTGAATGATAAAAACACATAAAGGAAACAAGAGCAGTTCTAATCATACTTTTCATTTACATTTCAGTGACATGCTTATAAAGGGATGATGTCTTCGTTTTATCAAAGGTTACAAAAATGTTAAAAAGAAACGGTTACCTAACGCATTTTATTAGGAAAATATGACATCGGTTCTCAAATCTGATAAGCCCAGGACCACAAAGTTATAAGCGATGCAAAGCTGCCCCACCTCTAATCTTCTGCACCTGAGAGCACCTGAGGGCTGATGGGCAGAACAGGCACTGAACCAGGAGCCAGCAGACTTGGGTCCGGATCTCACTGTTGCCCTTGATCAGCTTAGGGCCACGTGCACATCCTTTAACCTCTCTGTGCCTCCGTTTCCTCAGTCTTTGAAACGGTTACGATACTCAGGACACAGGGTTCATTGAAAACACTGATGTCGCCTCAGCCTGTGTGTACAAGTGAAGTCACGTTAATATTAACACCCAGGTTCTGGCGGCTCGAAGCCCCCACCTGTGCCAAACTCCACCTGTCACAGTAGAGCCCGCCACCTGTTTCTGGAAGTTCCAGTTGTCACGGGTGCTCAGGAATGAGGGAGTGGATCTTTCTGTCTCCTCGAGGACAGCCCACCAGCCAGCTGAAGAGGCCTCCTGTCATTGGTCTTGCCCCAACCTCGGTTGCCATCCCTGAAAATGCTCTTCCCTGATACTTGGTGGCTCCCCTGCAGGGTCCCCAGGGGTTTCCTGCAGAATGGGAAGAAGGTCCCTCCTCCACAGTGTTCCATTTGGTTCTGCATCAAAAAGGCACCTTTCTTCCCAGTGCCTCCTTCTACAGGGTGGACCTGGCCCCTCCGGTGAGCTGGGGGAGGCATCATCTCATCCTCCAGTAACCCCTTCTCCCCCAGGGTACCCACACTTGCACCTCCTCCTCCTTAAGCAAGGAACAAAGCCCTGATGATCAACTCCTGCCCGTGGACACATCTGTGTGCACAAGGGGGAGTCCTCCATGCCCAGAGCCACTCAGGGTCAGCCCAGACCACGCACTGTGGCAGAAATAGTGGGACTTACAGCTCCTCCATCTTTTCTCTGAAACTTTCGGACCAGACGTGTCTCAGAATTCAGAATCTGAGCCAGCCCTGATGGCCTAGCGGTTAAAGTCTGGCGCCCTCGGCTTCAGCAGCCCCAGTTCTGTTCCCGGGTGCGGAACCACACCACCCATCTGTCAGTAGCATGCTGTGTCAGCAGCTCACATAAGAGAACCAGAGGAACTTACAACGATACACAACTATATCCTGGGGCTTTTGAGGGGAAAGAGGAAGAAAAAAAAGAGGAAGATTGGCGACAGATGTTAGCTTAGGGTGCATCTTCCCCTGAAAAAAAAAACAATTCAGAATTTTTCAGAATAGAGGAGGGCCATGTGTGGCCTATGCTGTGTATGAGATCTCGGTTCTAGCAGGGCGTGTGGCTGCCGCGCATAACTACACCCGCTGACAGTCTGCAGCGGGTCGCAGGTAGCAGGACCGCGTCACGACAGAAATCCTCTTGCCTCAGTTCAGGTCAGGTTTTGCCACTAAATGTGTTTGTGACAAACTCAGGACAGATTTTCAGAGCTTTTTGGAGGTTAGAATTACGGATAAAGGATTGAGGAGCTGCCGCTTCCTGCTTCTGGGTGTGGCTGTGTCCCTTCCTGGACATCCTGCTCTGGGGAGAAGTCGAGAGGGAAGGAGGAAAGCCGAGCATTTATTTGGCACTGACAGTGTGCCCGGCACACATCAGGCTCTTTTGCCCATGTTGTCCCATTAGGGGGCTGGGTGCTGCTGCGGGCCAGGCCTGGACCTCCCATTCGGGGGAAAGGTCAGCTCGGCCTGACTGGGCAGCAGAAAGCAGCCCCAGCTCCCTGCCGGCTAATGTGTTTACCCAGCGCCCGGAGCAGGTGGGAGGTCCATCTGCTAATCTCTCCCAGCTGCCCCTCTGGCTGGTATCACTGCTGAAAGGAGAGCAGGGGCCCTGGAGAGGCTGGGGAGGGGTGGAGCAGAGCCCCTCAGGGTCTCAGATCAGCTGAGCCATGTCCTTCCTCCCTGAGATGGGGAAAGAGGCCTTTCTCCAGTGGAGAGGGCTTGGTGGGCGGGGCTGAGTTATCCCTTCCCATCCTCCGGGGCCCCTGGGCTGACAGGTATTTCCTTTCTCTCCTGGTCACAGCCATAGTGAAAACCGCAGGCCCAGGGCTGATCTGGGCGCCTGAACCTGTTCCGGCTCCAGGGCAAGGAGTTAAGGGAATCAAACCAGGATGCTTGAGACCCAAGGGGGTTGTTGCCCCAGGGCTGGGGCATCAAATCTGCTTCAAGACCACCCCCTTTCCCAAGGAGTCCCTTGCCCATCACTCCGCCTGGCACGTTTGGTTCCCTCAGCCCAGGAAATGCCTGGAATCCTGCAGAATCTTGCTTTTCACCCTGGTGTTGCCACTGGAAACCAGAGAAGTGATCAACTCAGGGAATGAGAGGTGGGCTCCAGGAAAGGGGGTGGGCAGAAACAATTCACATTCATTCATTCTTTCCATCCATCCATCCATTCATCCAACATTAATTTAGCCTTCGTAATGTGCCCGGCGAAATGTCCCTTGCAAAGGAAAGCCCATAGCAGCTGACATCATTAGCCTGTACCTGGCAGAGCCCTTTCCTTGTCCCAGGAATGGGAATTGCTGGTGAAGCTAATGTAAGAGTTGGAGAACTTGTCCTCCCCTCTACCTCAGGAGCCACCCCCAAAGGAAGGAGCCTCTTTCCCCACCCCCAGACAGCAAGTAGGGTGTTGATGAAGTCTTGTGGGCACAGGCACAAATGCCCCAGCACATCGGGCCCTGAGCCACCCCAAGTTCCCCGGCTAGACCCCTCCTCTACAATTCTGCCCCTTTGAGGAGTTCTGGAGGCTTCAGCACAGGCTCCACCACCATGTCCTCTGGCCGGGCTCCCAGCGTACAGACCAGGCGGGCATCCTGGATGACCTCTCGCACAGTGGCCCGGAAAGTCTTGCTGACAAAGCAGTAGAGGCCAAAGTTGACGGCTGTGTTGAGCATGGCTGCCATGTTGGCCACATCCAAGGCCAGGTGGACCCTCCAGTCCCGGTGGACAGGGGCCACATACAGGTGGTAGAGCATGACAAAGATCCGGGGTGCCCAAAGGAGGGCAAAGAGCGTGGTGATGCCCAGGAGGATGGCTGTGCTCTTGCCCACCCGGGGCCGCAGCCCACTCTGGCCCCTCCTCCGTAGTCGGCAGATGATGGCCGAGTTGGCCACCAGGAAAACGCCACAAGGGATGAAATAGACGGTGAGGCAGTGAGCCCACTTGAGGACCTTGTCCAGCGTGCTGGGGGGGTCTGTATCCCTCCACACGTCCAGCCACCAGTAGAAGGGGATGCCAGTCAGCAAGGCAGCACTGAGGACAATGGCGATGGCCCGGCGGGCCCGGCCTAGGGATGAGGCGGCCCGATGGTGCAGGGGGTGGCACATGGCACTGTACCGGTCCACTGTGAGCAGGACGGCGATCCAGACGGAGGCGTGGTTGGCAGCGAACTGCAGGATGTTAGCCGTGCGCACCACAGCCTGGGGCACCTCTCGGGCCAGCACTGCTCCCTGCAGGAGGAAGCCCACGAACACGATGACCACCTGGGTGACGACGTCTGAGGCCGTGAGCGCCAGGAGGTAGTAGTAGGAAGGCTTCCTGGTCCTGGCGGCGAGGCGGCCCAGGGCCACTGTGGTCAGGAGGTTGACTGAAGACCACCAAGGTCACAGAGGGGAGAGGTCAGAGGCATTAGAAGGGCTGCTCAGACTTTGCCTTCCAAGGTGTCATCACAGTCCCTCCCCATCTGCTTGTGCCGGAGGCTGTGCAGGCTTCTCTATTCCTCTCTCCAGGCCCTTCTTAAAACCTACTTTGTCAGGAAGGCTAACCAGATGAACCCTGCTCTGTCCTGTGGCATTCCCCTCTCCATCCTTTTCCAGTATTCCACGTCCTCTGTGATGGAGGTTTCCCTGGCAATGGGCGGGGGGCAGGCGGTATTCCCCAAGGCCAAGACCACCTATCCTTTCCTGCATCCATACCCCCACCCCGACCCCCAGCTCTGCTCTCGATGGTACAGGAAGCTCTGGACTCAGCTGAGGGCAGTCCTGCGCAAACCCAGCCATCCTAGGACTGTGCCCACTGCTGGGGTAGGAGGGGGCTCTCTGCTTGCATGAAACTTTGGGTTTAGCTCAAGTACCCCAAATCCTAGCCCCTCACCTTTACTCCTCACTATGCTTTGTTCCCCAGTGACCCAGATCACCCCCATAAAGGCAAGGGGAGCCCTGGGATCTATGGTCCTGGGTCTCGGGGGCCAGCACAGAGGATTGGCACCCATCAAAAGAGGACTCCAATTTCTGGCCCAGCCCAAGACCCCGGGCCCCAGCTCCCCACTCACCAGGCAGCCCCAGGCCCAGCAGGATGCTGTAATAGATGACAGGGATAACACCAGCCACACATGGGGACCTCTCTTGGATCTCCGGCCAATGGCTTTCAAGCTCCTGGCTCAGCCCACTGCCATTGGGTGTGGGCAGCGGGGTCACTCTTGGCTGGCCATCTAGGAAGGGTGGAAGGGCGAGGTTAGAACATTATGTCTCCTTCCAGCCTGGCCTGGCAACAGCCCCACCTTGGCCCTGACCCTGAGGTCCTTATTCATCCCTGCTGTGTGCAGACCCCATGGTCAGACCCGGTCAAATGGCAACCTCTATTGTCAAGCCCTTCCCAGCCCTCCCCTGCCCCCGCCAGCCCCTGAGTGGCCAGGCTTCCCCATTGAAGGGAAGAAATCCTCAGTGGTGGCGTTTCTTGATAGAGACAAGTTCTCAATTGCATTGCTCCCAGTGGATCTGCAGCCTGGAAAGCAGGGTCCTGAAACAGGCTGCACCACACAGACGTGGGCAGGGGCGGGGAGTGGGGGGCAGGGGGCACTTGTGAAAATACAGGGCCCTGAGCCTCACTGAAGGCAGTCTGAGCCAGAAGGTCATTCCAGAAGGTCTGGAGTGGGGCTTGAGCAGCTGTGCTTTTAATAAGCTTCTTGGGTGATCATAACCCACTATGACTCTCAACAGTTGCACAGCTTTACTAACATAGCTCTTTAAGGAGAGATGTCACCAGGGTGCCCTCTTTTCTAAGCTAAAGAGCATCCCTATTCATAGGTTAGCCCTACTGGAGCTAGAATGGCCTTGTTTAAAGATGGGGAAACTGAGTCCAGAGGGGTAAGGTGACCTGCCCGCGGTCACACAGCTGGCTTGTGGACCGTCTGGAAAGAGGACCAGCCACATGCTCTGCCCGGCTCAGACACACTTTAGGTCTTTGGGTTTTACCTTCCAGCTTTTGATTTCCTGCGGAAGCTCCACCTCCACCCCCACCCCTAGCCCACCCCTCATTCATCCTCAGCTTCGAGCTCCCGTCCCCAGCCTCCAGATTCCTTACCTGTCCTTCCACCTTACTCCCCTCACCCCCAACCAGTTCTACATACTTTACCTGTCTCTCCTCCCTCAAGCCTCATGCTCCTGGGTCCTGAGTGCTGGGTCACTTTGCGGCTTTTTCTGGGGGTCCCTGCAGCTCCCTCCCAGCATCGCCAGCTGCTCCCACCCCCACAAGGCTCTCCAAACAGCTGTTTGCCCCACGGTTCTTCCAGCGGCACTGAGCCGTCAGGGTAGAGAGCTGGACTAGGGGGAGGAGGGCGGTGGAGGAAGAGAGGGTGGGGCTGACGTTCGGGGGAATGAGTCTAGACAGCAGATGCCACCTGGAGCAAACCAGGATCCCCTAGGGTGCACAGGCAGGGAAGGGGTCAGGCTGGGAGGGGGGCCTTGGGGTGGGGGCAGTGAGGTGAAGAGGCAGGATTGGGGCTCTGGAGAGGCTGCCTCGGGCCCTGGGCACTCTGGGAACTGACGTGGGCTCAGCAGGGCAGTCACGCCTGGGGTGGGGGGCACTTTAGGGAAAGATTCAGGGAGCTAACTCTGCAGGCACCAAAGAGAAGAGGGCACGTCTGCAAGGAGAGCTGGGTAGAGGAGCGGCCGCCATGGGCAGGGCCCAGATCTGGAGAGAGGCCGCATGGGCCAGTTTGCAGAGTCAGTCCTGCAGCTGTAGAGGGCGGTGGGACGAGGAGGAGGCTACCTGGGGGGCTGCTGGCCTGGAAGAATGGTGGAAGCTGTGCACAGTGGTGGCGGTGACCACCGGGGAAGCTGCCCAGGCTGCCAGCAGTGCTGGGAAACCAAGACCCAGTGGCTGCCCACAAGCTGCTGTTTTCCTGGCGCTGGTGAAGTGGACCATCTCTCCGGGAATATCAGTCATGGCAAATAAACACCAGCCGGTGCGGCGAGCACTCTAGGGAGGCTGGAATCTGCGCCTGGCTGGCTGCCCCCGACCCTGGAGACGGCTGACCACTGGGACGGTGTGTGAAATGACTCCGGAGGAGAGCGGAGGCCCAGCCCGGAATTGCTTTCTACCCCTGCCCTCTGGGCACGTAGCTGAGCCGGCTTCAGAGCTCCCTAAGTCGGATCCCACCACTGGGGCTGGAGCCACCTCAACCTCACCCCCATCCCCGCCTCCATCCCCGCCCTGGGCACTCACAGCCAGGCCTTGCTGCTCCCTGGTGGCCAGCCCTGACCCTGCTGGCCTCTGAGAGTCCACTGGCTTTGGCCAGGTCCTGGGGGTGGCACAGTGGGACTAGAGCAGGCACTACTCACTCAGGTCCCCAGGCAGAGCGTCCGGGACACCAGCCCCAGAGAGCGCAAGTAGCACCAATAGGTCCCCAGGCTGCCACCTCCCTGCACCTCGAGGCTATGGGTTGAAAAGGCCACATGTGAGGGCTCTACCAACATTTACTGCACACCGACTCCGTCCCTACACTTGTCATCCTCATGGCAGCGCCACAAGCTGACTCTGGTTACCTCCATTCCACACCAGAGGGGACTGAGGCCACAGAGCTAGCATGTGGCTGTTGGAATTCGAACTCAGGTTTGTCCCTCCCCGAGAGCTGTTTGCTTGTCACTCCCTCACACAATCTTCTCTGGAAGAACAGGAGCGAGGCAGGGAGAGGCCACAGTGAGCTCAGGCTTCACAGAGGAGGGGATGTGGATCAGACGGACAGCACTCAGACAGGGAAGGGCATTCCAGTCAGGGGAACAGCATGATGGAGGGTGCTGAGGCAGGAAAGTGGGGTTGCGGCCATGATGGGACAGACTGGTGCGGGGGAAGCTTTCCATAGCGTGTGAGTTACTTCAGGGAGATCCCTTCTTGGTTATCATTAGCACATCCCCTGAGTACGTGGGGCGGGAACGTACTCTCAGTGTTGGAGGGCACCCTAGCTCAGGAAGGAGATGTAGGGGAGACTGTGGTTCCGGCAGGGCTGCCCCTCCAAGGTGAGTATTATGTGGTCCAGTGTCTGATGCGCCCGCTCTAGACGTTCGGGGACTCCTCATCCTACCCCGAGCTGGCAAGAGCTTTCTGTTGCTTTTACTGCACTCTCTAGTCCTTGCCCACCAGGGATCGGCTTCCCAGAAAAGGCAGCGTGGGGTTGTGGAAAGAAAGTGGAGCAGAAAAGCGCCATTTGAATCCTGGCTCTGCCCGTCCCGGCCATGAGACCTGAGACAAGTCACTCAGGTTATAAACATTCTTACCTCCAGCAGGAAGTAATCCCCCTCTCTGGGAACTGTTCCTGCCTGTGAGCTCAGCAGACTTGCTCTCAAGGAACAGTGGAGATTCCAGATCCCCAGGGCAAATAAAACAGAGCGTGGCAGGTCCTCGCTCTCAAAGGCCGTGCAGGGCGATTTTCCTCTTCCCCACTCCAAGACTCTCACACATCACACACATGCAGGCACACACGTCCATGCACACACACACCCATGCACACACATGCATACAGTCCATGCACACACACGCCCATGCACACGCACATACATACACGCTCACACACACACACACGCACACGCTTCAGCAATCCTTGGACTAAGAATATGAGAACAGACAATGCCTGTTTTTGGAAAGCCAGTTTCTAAATCGTTAGAGGAGGTTCAGGGATAACGAACATTGGAAATAGCAGGGGTTGGGGCCTCTCAGAGATGGGGAGTCAGAGGTGACCCCCCTGGGTCTTCTTGGTAACCTGGGGCCTCCCCAATCCCTGCACACTTGAAATGCCACCCGTCTAACTCTAGTGGGGAGATCTTAGCTTGGGGTGGACAGGACAGTTGTTCAGGATGCTCAGAAAACATTCGTGCCCTGGCTCCCAGGTGGACCATGGCAGATTCCAGTGCAGGTGGCTACACTTATAGGAAGACTGAGGCAGAGTCTCAGGAGGCTGGAGTTGAGAAGCTTGTGTACCAAAAGACTGTTTTCTGAGTAGCGCATTCTCTTGTCATCATCTCTTTATCATCAATAACATTCCTTTTGAAAAGTGTTATGCTTGAAAGCCAGGACGCCCTCAGAGGCCCAGATCACCCCACCTTCACAGTGAGGCTCCGTCTTGCTGGGCTGGGCTGGGGAGGTGGGGCAGCCCACAGGAAGGGCAGGCGGGCAGCCAGTGGGCGAGGGATGGTGGAGCTGGACAACAGGAGCCAGGAGTGAAGGGCAGGGCAGCCGGGAGGGGTTTCCGCTGGGCTGGACAGCTTCATCTCTGCCAACCCGGACGAGGCAGGTGCCAGACCCCATTCCTGCTCTCTCTGTGGCTCGAGAGAGAGGGTGGAGCCGTCGGGTCTCGCTGCACCAGCCAGGGGCAGAAATCAATGCATCGAGCTGGGCTCTGGGATCCAGAGAGCAGGGGAGGGTGGGCTCTGACCCATTCTGGTCAAGGACTTAGCCTCGGGAGAAACTCAGGAGCCCCCACTTTAGTTCATCAACCTGGAAGAAGTCCCTCCCAGAAGATCTGGGCCAGGCCCCTCTCACTCTCGGTAAAGGTGAGGCCTCAACTGCACCCACCCACATCCCCTCCCCCTGGGCTCTAGACCCCACCCTCCTCTCTCTGTTCCCTCGGTTTTAGAACACTCCTCTGCACTAACTCAACGAGACTGCGACCTAGCTCTCTGCCTTAGTTTCTCCTAGTGTCAAGGTGGGCACCAGGTCTGCTGTGTGTCTCCTTGGAACTCTGGGAAGGGAAAAATTACAGTTGGAAGTTGGAAAGAAGCTATAAAAGCAGCCTTCCAGCGAGGTGAACCTAGAGACCTGAGGCCACTTGAGAAGGGGAATTAAAGGAAGGAAGTGATGGGGCAGCCAGGTGCCCACCTCAGCATCTCCAGTCTCCACCCCCAGGTTTGGGCTGGCTGTGCAGGGGGCTGGGCTGCCTGTTGAGGGCCCATGCAGCAGTGCACTGAGGAGCGTCCATCTGCTCTGTGCCCAGCCCTGCCATCTTGGTTCACTTTGACCCTGGGGCGGGCCGCGGTCACAGTCACCTTGGAGCCTCCCTAAAGGCCTATCACCCTCCGCAGAGCATGCCGGGAACATTCTTTAACAAAGAGCATGAAAACCCCATGTTACCCCACGGGCCCCTATCCAAGACTTTTGCCCTCTTCGCTGGAGAGCCAGCCCACCCCAAAATGGGAGAGGGGGAGGGGTAGGAGCCTAAGCTGCCTCTCCCCTCTCCTCTTCCAGGCCCTTCCTTTGCAGCCGGCTCGCCATGGCACTCCAGCCAGGATGCTGCCAAGCGTGCTCCGTGCCAGGGCGGAGGCTGCGCCTGGGGATTGGGGGAAGGGGGTGGGGACCCTCTGGGCTGGCGGCTGCCAAGGGTCCTGGAGCCCCTTGCCTGCCCTTTGGAGGGCCTAAAACTTCCCAGGAGAGGAATGACTAGCTCTGCTGGGTGGTAGGCGATGTGGGGGAGGGTGCCGGATCTGTCCCCCTCGGGGGCCCTCAGGCAGCACAATAGCCCCTGGGGCTGCCACTCTCTGGCTTAAGTGGTTGCCCGGGCAACAGCTGGGGCCAGCTTCCACCAATCCATGGCAGAGGCTTGGTGGGGGGAGGGAAGCCAGCTGGGAAGGGGGTGCTCTCCCCTTGCTGGATCCTATATAAGGAGGAGAGATGTGAGCGGAGTGGTCTGGGCTTCGCTGTCCTTCCAGCAGACTCGGAGCTGGGGCACAAAGATGCTTAGGCTGGGCTATGCCAAGCCTGGGTCCTGGGGCAGCTTCTGGGCCATCCTGACCTTGGTGGGCCTGGCCACTCGTGCAGGTGAGTGGGCAGTGGGCAGGGTGAGGAGCAGGGAGGAGGGGCAGGGCCTTCCAGCCCCAGCTACACATGGCTGGCAGGAGGCGGTGTCCAGCTGGCCAGGACAGACTTGACTGGATCAAACCGCTCATGGACACTTCTCCCCGGAGGGAGAAGGGCAGCCTGCCTCGGACAGGAGGGGGGTTGGGCCGGCAGGCAGGGGTCTTCATGACAAGAACACCCTTTCACTGTCCATTGTCCTAGGCAGCTGAACCCAGGCAGAAGCCGAATGGGGTGCCATCAGCATTCAGGTCCTTCAAAGTGACAGCTTGGGGAGGCGGGGCTGAGAAAGTGACCACCTGCTCCTCTCGCCCTCCCTTTCTCCCTCTGTCTCCCTCTCTTACACATGCAGATGCTCTGTTCTTGTGTGAGTCTTCTCTCCAAAAGTCCACACGTGCCACAGGCGTGCATGTGTGCATGCATACGTGCATGTATGTGTGTGTGTGCGTGTGTGCATGCATGTCAGATATCCCCTTGCCTCCCTCTGTGAGGTTCCTTACACCGTTCTCAGCTTGCGGAAGCTGATGGTAGCATTGTCTGTCACTGAGTTTTCTGTAACTGAGTGCATGTCCCCATCTGACCCTCACGGCGTCCCTGGAAACATGGCAGAAGGACCCAGCCTGGCCAGCCTGGAAGGGGATGCCTACCTCGACATGCAGTGACTGCAAGAGTCCCATTCCAGCACCAGGTGTACTTTCTCTGGTCCCCTCAGGCTGCCGGATGAGTGTGGACTTCTGTCTCACAGATCGGGACTCAGGGGGGCAGCTGGGTCTGGAAACAGCTTCCCTTCCATGCCTGCAGCTTCGGCTCATGCTCCACCCCTCTCTCCTGCCACTCAGTGCTCCAGTCCCCTACTCCTCCCCCTGCTCCCAGCACGCCAAGCTCATCCTCTTCAGCCTTTGCAGGGCTGGTTCTCTGCCTGGATGCTCGTTCTCCGGCTGGTTCCTTGTCACTTCTTCAGGGAACCTGTTCCTGGTTCCTGCACCTAAAGTAGCCTCCACCCCCATTACTGTCACCTCCCTGATTTAGCACAATCTGAAACGACAGTTCTTATTTGTGTACTGCACGTGTCCTTTCAGGAGCATCAGGACCCGGCTTGTTTTGTTCACTGCCATATTCTGAGCTCCTGAGAGAGTGTCTGGCAGGCAGTAGATGCTCAATAAATATTAGTGAAGGCACCACTTCTGACAACTCCTCCAGGGGGTTAGGTAGACGATTCTTCAGGAAGTGAGCAGTGGGGACCAAGAGGTTCCTCAACCCTCAGCCTGGGGATCTGGCATCATGCAGACCAGTTCTCGGCATCCTGTCCCACGCTGGTTCATGACTTCTCCCTGCCAGGAATCCACCCCCTTCCAGGACCATCCTCTCAGGGTCCGCTCAGGGTCAGGTTCACAACCTTCCCCATTGGGACATGCTTGTGTGCACACACACTCATCCACATACTTCATGGGCACAAACAGGTGCTCACACAGCCTCCCCAGGCCCTCCTGCCCTCTGCCCACACCCAAGCACACCCGTCTCCAGCTGGTCCCTCTGTGCCCCTAGATTACGGCCCTGAGCCTGGGTGTCTTTTCAAGCTGTGCTGTGTTCCTGCTGCAGCCCAGAAAGCTGACGGTGGCGGGGAGGCAGCGGGCACCTCCATCAACCACTCCCAGATGCTGCTCCAACGCTTGCAGGAGCTGCTGAGGCAGGGCAATGCCAGCGACGTGGTTCTGCGGGTGCAGGCTGCAGGCACCGACGAGGTCCGAGTCTTCCACGCCCACCGCCTGCTGCTGGGACTGCACAGTGAGCTGTTCCGGGAGCTGCTGAGTAACCAGAGCGAGGTGGTGCTGGTGGAGCCCCGGGACTGCGCCGCCGTCTTTGACAAGTTCATCAGGTGGGGAGGGGATAGGCTGGGGGCGGGGGGGAGCTTCATCTCTTCCCAAACCCCTGGCTCCTCCACTCCCAAGGTCAGGGAAGCCCTGGCCCCTTAGAGGACCTGATGTCCATTCTCCAAAGGTCATTAGGATGCTGGTACCACCACCTCCTTCATCCCTTCTCCCACCGCCTTCTGGCAAAAATGCAGCACGACTCCCCTGCCCTTGCCTATAAGCTCTGCATGGTTGGAGGTCAGTTACCAAATGCTCTCAGAGCTGTTTCCAAATGGCGGCCAGGAGAGCTTTCAAAAACTAGATTCCTGGATTGTCAATTTCAGGTTTGGGGTTGGGCCCAGCAGTTGTTTTTCATTTTAAGGCCTCCACGTGATTTTGATGTCTGGCCTGGTTTTGAACCACAGAGCTAGGGAGCTGAAACAGTTAGCTAGCCCACCCAGCCCCCCTTCCTGCCAATGCACTGCACAGGGGGCACCATTCACACTGTAGTCTGAGAAAGTAACTCTGTTTTAATGGCTTAGACAAGATGGCTGCAGAATTCCAGTCATCACTTCCAAGCTCCAAGCAACAGGAAGAGGGATAGAACAGAAGGGCAAAAGGGTCCCCCCGACCCCAGAGTTCTATTTAACCAGCCTTCCCCCAATCCCATATTGTGCCTCCACTCATATCTCACTGGCTAGATTTAGTCCCATGGCCACATCCGCAATCAGGGAGCCTTGAAAACATCTTTCATTCCCAGAGGCAAACATGGGGCCGCACCGCAGGAGAAAGGGGAGACACAGGTGTCAGGGCAGGTATCTGGCAGTTGCTGCCATTACCCCATTGAGCGTGTACCAGTAGGGACTGGCAGGAAGGGTGAGCAGAGGGACAGCAGAAGACAGAGGCAGAGAGGGAGCCAGCAAGAGTGATAAGGGATAATGAGAGGGGAAGACAGTGAGAAAGATGAGACAGCAAGAAGTGGGGAGGGGAGAACGGGATCACCCTGCGTGGACCGCCTACTTTGTGGCAAGGACCGCTCATCCTCCTCCAGTTGTCACAATAACCCTGTTAGTCCCCGTTTCCTAGATGATTAGCTTAAGGTTCAGTGAAGGTGAGCGACTTGTCCATTCTCATAGCAAGGAGGTGTAGGACATGGATCCGAACTCAGACTGTAAACCCCACAACGGCAGGAGCCGCGTCTGTCTGGTTCCAGCACGCAGCTCGGCACCTCGTGGACGCTCAATAAATACATGCTATTTCCATGTCCCCGCGAGAACGGGACAGAAGAGGCTGTGAAGTAGGATGGGCATGGGAGGGTCCTCGAGAGGAAAAGACAGGCAGCCTCGAGGCCGCTCCTCTCTTTGTGCCCCGACCACGAAGCTCTCCACCCAAGGCCAGGTGCCCTCTGGACACAGAAAGCGGCTCTGGGTGGGGTGTGGGTGGTGGGGTGTGGGTGGGGGTGTGTGGCGAGGCGGCTCCGCCCTGACCCCGCCCCACCCTTCGCCTTTCCCTCAGGTACCTCTACTGCGGTGAGCTGACCGTGCTGCTGGCTCAGGCCATCCCCCTGCACAGGCTGGCCACCAAGTACGGCGTGGCGTCCCTGCAGCGGGGCGTGGCCGACTACATGCGCGCGCACCTGGCAGGCGGCGCGGGCCCGGCGGTGGGCTGGTACCACTATGCGGTGAGCACCGGCGACGAGGCCCTGCGCGAGAGCTGCCTGCAGTTCCTGGCCTGGAACCTGTCGGCCGTGGCGGGGAGCGCCGAGTGGGGCGCCGTGAGCCCCGAGCTGCTGGCGCAGCTCCTGCCGCGCTCGGACCTGGTGCTGCAGGACGAGCTGGAGCTGTTCCACGCGCTGGAGGCGTGGCTGGGCCGCGCGCGGCCGCCCCCCGCCGTGGCCGAGCGGGCGCTGCGCGCCATCCGCTACCCCATGATCCCGCCGGCGCAGCTGTTCCAGCTGCAGGCGCGCTCGGCCGCCCTAGCGCGCCACGGCGACGCGGTGGCCGACCTCCTGCTGCAGGCCTACCAGTTCCACGCCGCCTCGCCGCTGCACTACGCCAAGTTCTTCGACCTCAATGGCAGCGCCTTCCTGCCCCGCAACTACCTCGCGCCCGCCTGGGGCGCCCCGTGGGTCATCAACAACCCGGCCCGCGACGACCGCAGCACCAGCTTCCAGACGCAGCTGGGCCCGAGCGGCCACGACTCGGGTCGCCGGGTCACTTGGAATGTGCTCTTCTCGCCGCGCTGGCTGCCCGTCAGCCTGCGGCCCGTCTACGCGGACGCCGCGGGCACCGCGCTGCCCGCCGCGCGTCCCGAGGATGGCCGGCCGCGGCTCGTGGTCACGCCGGCCAGCAGCGGCGGCGACGCGGCGGGCGTGAGCTTCCAGAAGACGGTGCTGGTGGGGGCGCGCCAGCACGGCCGCCTGCTGGTGCGCCACGCCTACAGCTTCCACCAGAGCAGCGAGGAGGCGGGCGACTTCCTGGCGCACGCAGACCTGCAGCGGCGCAACTCCGAGTACCTGGTGGAGAACGCCCTGCACCTCCACCTCATCGTCAAGCCCGTCTACCACACCCTCATCCGGACCCCCAAGTAGACGAGGGGGGCCGGGGGCCGGGGCGGGGCGGGGGGAGCTCGGACGCCTCCGGGCTGGGGAATAAAGGTGTGGCATAGATGGCCTGGGAGGAGCCGGTGGAGTAGAGGTGCCTACGCTGGCCTCCAGGTTGGCCAGGCACTGGCGACGTCGGAGTTGGGTGGAATCCAAGCGAGGGGCGCTAGACCAGATGTCTGCTTTCAGGACGAGATTTCGCGGCTGATTTGAAGGCAACGCTCTTGGTTGAATAAAGCGATGCTCGCAGAGACCGGGGGATGACTGAACCACCTAAATAAGACCAGCCCAAGGACGGTTCCACAGGTCTAGGGGTTCCCCGTCTTTCATTAGGTTTTCTGCGAGGACCCCGACCCCGACGCAGAACAGGGCAGGGAAGAGTACCCAGTGGTCAGCGCTACCCCCCAGCCTGGGAAGCCCCTGGAATCCAGTACCAGGGGGTTCCTCACTTTGAAGCCGAGGGGCTTAGCTCTTAGCTGGGCAGTTTCTGAGCGCCAACTTCCAAGGGGTAACCACCTCATTTGGGTAGTGAGGCTTTCTGCCCTCTGGGCCACCCCAAGTCTCTGACCTCTGCTGTGGGTGGTGGGGGGGGCGGGGTCGTGGGCAGCGTGATGGGGCATGAATGGACCTTGCCAGCCCCATCCACCGTTCCTGGGGGCAGGGGCTCAGGGTCTAGAGAAAAACCCCTTCCTGCCGGGGTGTGTGGGTTCGTGCTGTGCAACCAGTGTGTGTAGGGGGGGAGTTGGGTTGAATCTTCACAGCCCCCCCCCCCCATATTCCAGACAAAGTCTAGTTTCCAACACAGCTGTCAAGACCCAAATGGGATTTTATTGTTAAAAAGGAGGAGAAAAAGCCACTACTAAGTAACAAAACCAGATTCCCTTCCCCACCCCAACCATAGTATGGGAAGTGCCGTTGGCCCCTTCCCCAACCCCCCTCCGGGATGCCCATGCCCCAGGTGTGGGCCCAGGAGCCCTCTCCAGCCAACAACTGCCCCCATCCCGAGACCGAGCCTGGCCGCAGGTCCGTGCAGGGTTTCGGCAACAGGGTCTGTCCAGGGCTGGGAGGCCAGGGAGCCCTTTCATCCTGGCTGTGCCTCCTGGCTCACCTCCCTCGCCGCGTGGCACTGCAAGCTTGGAAGGGTGGGGCAGGCACCCTCACAATTCCTGGGGTTCAGGAGCCCTGCCCTTCTGAGGACCTGAGCTCCCGCTCCCAGGTCACTGCCATCTGCCCAGCCTCTATCTCCCACTTCCTGCTAGAGCTCATTCAGTCCTGGGAGCAGGACGGCCAGTTCCAGGCAGGCCCCTCAGTTACGCCGGGGGAGTCCATCTTTGCCATGGGTACTTGTGCCGTGGGGTAGGCGGGGCCCATGGGTAGCCCGCCGGGAAACACCAGCTGGGTTGGAGGGAACAGCAAGGGGTGAGGAGTCCCCAGGGCCTGCAACAGGGGAAGGGCCAGAAGCAAAGGTTTAGGAATACCTTCCTGTCCCCTCTCTGATCACCCAGTGGCCTTGAACTCCTTAACAGCACAACTTCAAGATGCCAGTCCCACAAGTATTCTTCGAGAACCCCGTTTCCAGCAAGGGGCAGCTATAGGGGCAGGGAGCTCCACATGCCTCCTCCCTGGGCTGGCCAAGGCCTCCCCTTCCCCATTGCCCCATTGCCTCCCTTGCGGGTACTGACCCGTATTCTGGCTCGGAGGGAGTTTGACCTTGGCCAAAGGCAGTGTGACCTTTCCTAGATGCCGAATACCAGGGGCTGGGTGCTCGCACACTGGCATCCTGTGGCCCGAGATGCCCTCCATGGGACGGGGCCCCAGGAGGTGAGTCTTGGGGCGGGAGAGCTGTGTTGGTTGGAAACAGTGAGGTGAGGCGGGAGCATGAGGATCTTATACAGGGATCTCCCCCGGCTATGATGCCAGCCTGGGGCACAGAGGCATGGAGGGTGGTGCAGGGCTGGTGCAGGTACCTCTGGAGGAATCCAGCCCTCAGGCCCCCACCCACAACAAAGGCGCTCAGACACCCTACCCCCTGCCCCTGGCCTCACCCCTTGCCCTGTGACCTCAAAGGACCGGGACCTCCGCTTCCTTCTCTTCGCCTCCAGCGACTCCTCCCGTTTCTTGCCCAGGCTTTTCTTCTGGCCATGCAGCCAGGGCCCAGGGCCGTTGCCACGATGCTTGGCTGCCTGAGATGGGGCCTCGCCCGTGCTGCTAGACAGGTTGTCCTCGCTGGCAGCGTGCTGCAGCGTGGGGCTGGGCGGCCGCTTGCAGGCCAGCGGGCCAGAGGGCCGAGAATCATCAGCCTCGCTCAGCGAGTGCAAGGACAGGCTGCTGCGCTCCATCGCGGGAGCCAGCAGGTGGCGCCCCTCAGTGCCCAGGGCCCGCGAGCGCCGCCGGGCGGCCTTCACTGAGATGCACTTGGTGCTGGTCAGGATCTCCTTCCTTTCTGCAGCGGGACAGGGGGAGCATCCAACCCGGGGTCAACGTCACATATTCCTCCCCTTCCTGCATGTCCACTACCCCTCTGCCAAGGCAGAAATGAGAAGGGGCCAGAACGCCCAGGTTTTGATCCCAGCATCCCCACCTGCTTGCTTGCTATTTAAGAAACTCGGGGCGAGTTTCTGAGCCTTATTTCCTGTGTAAACTGGGGGTGGTAAAACTAACCCCACAGGGTTACCATGAGGATAACTGAGAGAACGGGCTTAGCCTATGGCCAGGGGCCTGGGATTCGGTCTCCATCTGCTATTACAAGTGTTACTGAGTGGGAAGGGGGGACATGATCCTAAGTGCCATGTGTTCATTCTGATTCCTGACTGTGCCCCAGCTCTCTGTGTGTCCTCGAGCAGGTTGTTAATCCTCTCTGGGCGTTGGTGCCTCCCTTTCTAGAATGGGTAGCACCATGCATGGGTGTTCAGCAGCGCAGAGGGCAGGAACGGGCTTTGGGCTGGGTGATCTGAGCAGTTTAGACAATGCCGGGCTCAGGCCACGGGGCAGGAAGGGGGCACACCTTTGTGGGACAAGGGGATCTCTGACAGATTCTCGCTGCTGTTGGGGGAAGAGTTGATCCGGCTGCTCAGGCTGACCAGGCTGTCCTGAGTGGGGGCCTGTGGGACGAGGTGGTTGGGAAGAGAAAGGCATTGAACACAGCAGGGACCCCATGCCCCACTCGGCAGAGACGGTGGGGCATCAGGGGTGGTGGCCGTTTTGGAAAGGCTCCATCCCAACCATTGGGTGTCCACCTGTGCTCCCACCCCCACCAGTGGAGCCCATGGGGCCCGTGGGTGCTCAGAGCTCACCTCCTGGGTCACCAGGCTGCCCATCTGGATGGGGGGCGGGGTGGGCACAGAGGAGCTCTTCACCTGCCAGGCCCGGGGACTGGCCTTGAACACGCGGTTGGCTTCACTGAGGTTGGCAGAGGAGGATGGGTGGTTGTTGACCAGGTTGGCCCCACTGAGGTCCCACCCCCACCCCAGGGGACAGCTGTTTGTGTGAAGGGAAAGAGAACCCAGGAGTCCTGGCTCCAGACCTGTGCCACCTCCTCCCTTTCGTTCCTGCTCCATCTGCCCCAGTTAGCCCTAATCTGGGTTGGCATCGCTGGGACATGGTGCGGCGTCTGGGGCTCAGGCAGCGGGACTGGCTGGAAGTGGCTCCTGGTCTCACCTTTCTGGGCTGAGCGGAGGGAAGATGCTGTTCTGCAGGCGCTGGGCCTCAGAGCTCTGTGTCTTCACGCTCTCTGGGTCAGACTCCGGGGTCAGTGTGGTCCCTGCTGGGGTAATTTTGGGCAAGGAGCTGTCCTGGGGAGGGGAAGTGGGGCATCGGGGGGTCAGTCAGAAGACTTGGTCCTGGCCCAGGTAACAGCACAGAGTGACAAAGGCACACAGGGTGACCAGAGCTATAAGGCAGGCTGGGAGTCCAGGGAGGGCCGTGCATTTGTGTTCCAGGTCGCAAGGGGTAAACTGTGGTTTGCTAAGCATCTCCAGTGGCACCGCCTGATGGCCTGGTCTCCTGGGAGGGCATCTGGGGCCATTTGTGATATCTGATAGCCAAACCTGATGCTCAGACTCTGGGTGGAGACAAGTGCCAGAGAAGAACGCCCTGGGATGGAGACCTTACTCAGGCTTGGCAAGACTTTGGGTGGGGTAAGAAGGAAAGGGAGTCAACTCTTCGGGATGCCAGCCAGCTGGGTCCCATCTCCATCCCAGCCATCTGGCAGGCATTGCCTTGGGCATCAGCCCCTCCCTCAGCACAAGTGCACCTGTCCCTGCCCAGGCATGCTCAGGCTCCCACCTGCAAGGCCCTAGAGGCCACCCGGTCCATGATGGTGGCCCGCTCCAGGCTGCCCTCCTCCAGCTCCCGCAGGTACACTTCGTAGAGCTCCTCCAGGTGCTGAGGGACCGCCAGGTTGTAGTCTGCTGGGGGAGGGGCAGGGCTCAGCGCGTGCCCTCGGACCCTCCGCTGGTCCATAGGGCCCCTGGGTGGCTCCGGCGCTGGAGGCGCGGGCCCTACCGTCAATGATCTGCCGTTGGCCCTGGATGATCTCGTCGCAGAGGCTGCGGTGCTGCTCCAGGCGGCGCACGGCCTCGCGGCGGTGGCGGAGCGCGCCATCCCGGAGCAGCGCGTGCGACTGCATCTCGGTGTTCTCCACCTCCAGCTCGTGCACGCGGCACAGCAGGCTCAGCACCTCGCGCTGCTCCTCGGAGCCGATGCGCCGCGGCAGCGTCTCCTCCAGGCGCCGGCCCCGCGCGCGCAGCTCGCGGCAGCGCTGCTCCAGGGCCAGCTGGGGGCGGCACCGGGTAAGCGCCAGGCAGCAGGCGAGGGGCCGCTCCGCCGCCCAGCCTGTCCTCGCCCCCTCCAGTCCCGGACTCCAGGCTCCGGACTGAAGCTCCATTCCCAGTCCAACCCTCGAAGGTGTATCTTGGACCTTGCAATCAGGGGCTGCTCCTACGTGGCCCCTCTGTACCCACAATCTTGCCTCCCCGACCACAATCTACCCCTGGAACCAGCTCCGTGGATATCTGCTCAAGCCCAGCCCATCTGATGCCCTCGGGGCTCACGGTACCCTGAAGCCCCCTGGTTTGGGTATGCTCCCAAACAGAAGGCAAAGATCTGTTATCTGGAAAGCCCTAGTTATAATATTGGCTACCATTTTTTGAGTCCTTAGTATGTGAAAAGCATTTATTTGATCTTCCTAACACCCCCATCCCCCCCCCCCCCACACACACACAAGGGCTGCACTACTCCCATTTTACAAATGAGTAAGGGAGGTGCAAAGAGGTTAAGGAACTTAGCAAGGTCACCCAAGATTGGTGGCCTGAGTTCCCAGGTCTCACGCCTCCCCACCCTGCCCTCAGCCCCAGCCAGAAGGCTCGGGCCTCCCAAACCCACTCTTCCTGCCCCCCAACCCCTGGGCACCTTCTGCTTCCGCATCTTCTTCTGCTCGCCCACCAGGGCGGCGATGCTCTCCCGGGCTGAGGCCACCTCGGGCGGCTCCAGGATGTCTGGCTGGTCATCGCCCATGTCGGAGTCCTTCTCACTGTCGTCCTTGGTGTAGGACTCCTTCCGCTGCTCCTCCCGCCATTTGAGGGCCCGGCGTGACTTCTCGTGCTCCCAGCTGCCGCAGCCCCACCCCCAGGGAGACACGGGATTCAGGCCACGGGGGACAGGACACAGCGTGCAGTTACAGGCCCAGGCCCAGGTGTGGGCCCTGGAGGGTCCTGGGCAGGGGGTGCTCACCCGGCAATGGTGAGCAGGTGGCGGGAGGTGTCGATCTGGACTTCCATGGCGTGGTTCTCCAGCTCCAGCAGGCGTCTCCGCACGTCCATCTGCTCCTGGAAAGCGCTGACGAGTTGCTCCCGCAGCTGTCCCATGTCAGCCTGCTCACCTGGCCCGCTGTGCAGCTGGACCTCGGCTGCCCAGCGGATGGGGAATGGGGAGGTCAGTGGAGGAGGGAGGGTCAGGCCAGGAGAGTCTGGATCCATGTGGGGCTCTCCCTTCTCTTTCTTCCCAAACCACTTCCCATCCAAGCACCTCCTCCAGAAAGACCTCCTAGATTACTTCCTCCTCCCACACCCCACTTCCACATTGAGTCTTCAGGCTGTGGCCCAAAGGTGATTCCCAGCTCCTCTGTACGAAATGGCTTCCGCTAGCCCTTATAGCACCTTTGTGTTAACCAGCAAAAGGTACCCCTTAGACACTTTACCGCCATCTGTTGGAAAACCATCCATAGCAAATATGCAGGTCTATGAGAGACTGGTGGTCCTTCCGGTGATCCGGGTATGGCCTCACAGCCCTGTATGGCAGCTCTGACAGTGATGCCCTACACAGCTCAAGTGTCTATCACTTATGTGATCCCCCCAATCTTCATGTCAACTCCCTGAAGCAGAGATTGCGATTCCATTTTACAGCTGAGAGACAGAAGACTCAGGGCAGTTGAGTGACTAGCCCAAGGCTACCCAGCCAGAAAGAGCCTGAGTCTGGACTTGAACCCAGCACCGCCTGACCACAGAGCAATCTGAGACAGCCTGGAAGGGCTGCAGGAGACAGGCTCCCACCACACAGACCCACACACACACACCTTGGACGTGGCGGATGTCGCCCCGCTCCAGCCGGCCCCGGGCCTGGCCCCGCCCCCCCTGCTCATCGATCTTGCACTTGAGCCGCTGGATCTCGCCCCTCAGGTCGGCGATGATGCTGGTGTACTGGGCGATGTGGTAGGAGACGTTGAGCAGGTTCTGCTTCACCTGCGGGGTGCACAGGATGGGGGCAGAGCGGGGACTGTCGCCCCAGGCGATGGGGCCTGCCTGCGGGGTCTTTTTCTTTCTCCTCCAACCCCTTTCTGGATGACAGTAATGCCCTCCTTGTCTCTAACCCCACAACCTATCACACTACATGCCTCCACCAGATCCATACTCCTAAAATGCTGCTGCCCCTGCTCATCAACCAGCAGTGGCTCCCTATGGCTTGGAGGAATATCCTAATTCCTTCACCTAGTGTTGAAGGTCCACTGATCTCTCTCTCTGGATTTTCTGTGGCTCGCTGCTTTGTCATGAACATTCTGCTCTAGCCGAGGAAACATCCTGCTCCACCGCCACCCCCCCCCAACCCCCCTGCTACAGACACCATCTCCTTTCTGACTTTGGAACCTCTACCCTTACTGCACCCCAACTTCTGGAATGTCCTCTCCATCCTTCAGCATCCTGCTGAAGTCCCCAAAGAGCTCCCTGGGAGCCCACCAGCCCACCTAGTGTTGATATCATTTACTTGCTATTAGTAACATTTTGTACTATCAGTTAACTGTTTCATGGACATGTCTTCTTCCCCATTAAGTTCCTTGAATGTTGGAATAAAACATAAAGGACCTGAAAGAGCTGCTGGCAAAGTGCCGTGCTGGGAGAATGTTCCTTAAGTTCTGTCTACACTTATCCATTCCCGCCCCTCCACACATACAGGCGGAGAGACTTCCTGTTGGAGAGCAGGGATTCCAGCACATTTACTGGGAAACCAGGCAGCCCCGGTTCTAAGCTCAGCGCCATCACTGCCCAGCCGGGAAGTCACTTAACTTCCTTCAGCCTCATTTTTCTCCACCGCAAAGTGGGGATCAAGTGAGATGACATGTTACAGGGCTCAGGGTAGGTGCCCAATAAGGGTCACCTCTATTCTGACCATCTGATTAGGTGCTTTGAGAATGTAAACGTCTGAACGAGCATCTGAGGATGAAAACAGGAAGATGGCGGGGCATGGGGCCGGGGACCACAGACACTGAACTGTACACGAAGGGGACCCTCAGCAGCTGTGGGCTTCCTGGCAGGCAAGCAGGGGCTGAAGGTGCAGGGAAGGGCACAGGGGGACAGTCGACTGGGGAAAGAGGCCAGTGCAATGGTGGCTGGTTCCAGAGAGAGTGGGGAGGGATGGCAGGGCCTGGAATCAGTCCAGGGGCTCCAATCTTGGCCGAGGAAGGCATGCCCTGGGGGGACAGACAGGGCCCTCACCCTGGTCTTGATGTTCTTGGCCCGGCCGGCGTAGGTCAGGGTGTTCCGGGACTCCTCAAAGGCGCTGCTCGCTGGACTGATGTGGGCGATCATCACCGTGCGGCTGTTCCCGCCCAGGGAGTCCTGACCGGAGGGGGCGGGGCAGTGTCAGCCGGGGACTGTCCCCGGACCCTGCTCTTGCAGGCTGTTCATGACGCCCTCCATGGCGTGCCTTCCCTCTCTCGCTGTCTCTCTCTCTCTACTCACATACACATGCACACACACACACACGCACTCACACTCTCACAGGTCCTGGTGCTGAGCATCACGTGGACACCCCTGAGTCCGGATTTCCCCTCCCCCTCTCCTGCCCCTCCTTCCCACTTCCAGTTTCTTCTCCAGAGTTTGCATCTGAAAATTTCAAGCATCCGGGTCAGGGCCTCCTACTTTCTCTTTCCCTCCCCTCATGCATGAGAACCAGGAAGGGGAGCCCTATGGTTGACTGGGAGCCAGAGGGGAAAGAGCCCATGGGGCCCGGTGCCCCCTGCCATCTCCTCTGGCCCCCCAGGTCCCGCTACCCCATTTCTGACTGCTGGTGGCACTCCTTGGCTGGAGTCAGGATGGGGGATGGGAACCTCTGTATGAAGGTTGACTTTGGTCTGTGGCCACCCCCTGCCTTGCCCTGGGCTTGACTGTGCCCCGGGGCCATGATGCAGCTGAGTGACCGTCAGTACGATCCTTCACCTCTCTAACCATCAGCTTCCTCACTTTTTAAAACGGCAGTAACTGTGCAACCGTCCCACCACCCAGCTGGTGGGTGCAGTGGTGATGGCAGGCCGACAGCGGGCGGTAAGTAGATGACGGCTGTGATATTGGGCCAGACAGACCTCTGTTTAAATCCCACTGCCAGCACTTAGCCTCTTTGTGCCTCAGTTTCCTCTTCTGCAAATGGCCATAGTCATCCCCCTAACCCACAGAGTTGCTGACAGGATGAAAAGAGCTGAGGGGGGGGCGGTGAAGCGCTGAACACAGACTGCAGCCAGTAGTGAGCCCCCAGACCCTGGGCTCTGAGCTGAGGCCAACTGTGCACCTGAACCCCCAACTCCAGAGGATCCGGGTTCCCTCAGACCCACAGCCCGGGGGTGTCAGGTGCAGCTCCTTTCCCTCCCTGCCACCCAGTCTCTGCCGAGGGTCCCCAGGTAACACACGATACACCCAGACAAATCTGAATTTCAGATACACAACGACTGATTCTTTCAGTATAAGTATGTTCCAAACACAGCATGGGATGTACTTATACTAGGACAAATTCTGTTGTTCACCTGAAATTCAGGTTTAGTGGGGTACCCGTATTTTCACTTGCTAAACCCGGCAGCCCCGTCCCCGGGGCACAGTGCTCAGGCCTGGCCACGGTGGTACCTTCAGGAGCCGGGTGAGCTTGCTGTCGCGATAGTTGATGTACTTGTTGCTGCTCTTGTCGCTCAGCGCATTGATGCAGTTGCCCAGCGCCAGCAGGGAGCGGTTGATGTGGGCCCCCTCTTTCATGCGCTGCCCACGGTTCTGTGTCTGGGGGGCGAGCAGTGGGCGTAACTGTGGCCTTATGGGGCAGGGGACGGGTCTCACCATCAACACCGGGGTTATCCCTGGTTATAACCCTTCCCTCTCCCTCAGGGCTGTGACATGTAGGCATGACTCCAGGGGGCCTTGTCCCACCCTCCCCCCGGGGTGGTGAGGGCATTTGAGAAGCTAAGAGACCTGGAAGGCTCTGAACAGAGTGAGGACTGAAGACTGAGGCTTCGAGAGCGGGGCTGAGCCTGGCTGTGCCCCACAGGGCTGCACCTTGCCGCTTAGTGCACAGGCCGAGAGGGATGCGGAGGGAGGGGGGCGCCCCAGGCCTCAGGGATGGGGGAGGGAAGTGTGTGTGAGGGAGAGAATATGTGAGGAAATAGGTGTATGTGAGTGTGTGAGAGAGAGAGTGGGAGAATGAGTGTGTGTGGTGTGAGAGTGTGTACGTGAGTGGAGAACACCTGTATGCATGTGCGTGTGAGGGTGTGAGTGTGTATGTGGTTCCTCTCCTTGGGCCTACAGGACAGTGTCAGGCCGAGGAGGTGTCTGCCCAGCCCTCCACAGCGGGGACCCGCTGGCTCACCCTTTGCCCTGTGGCTCCCCCCTGCCCCTCCAGGGAGCCCTCAGGCCTGACTGCGAGAGAGGGGTGTGCTTCTCGAACCCCACCCTGTTCAAACTCAGCCCCACATGTTCAAACAGGAAACCCTGTTAATCCTCCCGGCTGCTGTCCTGTTCCGTGCATTTTCTTCTGGGCCAACAGTGACATCACCCAGCCTCATCGCTCAGGTGACCACGAAACCTCCAAGTTTGCCTGCAGAAGGGGGGCTGGACCAAGGCCAGAGCCAGGCAGCAGGCTCCGCGCTGGGGGACAAAGGCTGCGAGAGATGGCGGATGGACCTTCTTCTCTCCTCGATGATTTTGGCAGGGCCCTTGCCCTACCCCAGCCCAACAGCCAGTCCCCCAGCCCCGGGGGCGCAGGCCTCACCTGGGCTGCACGCTCAGAGCCAGCCAGGTCGATCATGAACAGACGGCCCTGCCGCACCTCCTGCAGGACATTTGGGACCCGGCTGCGCTGGCGCACGGCGACCTGGAGCACGGCATGGGAGCGCGAGGACGTCTGGTTGGCGGCCGTGGGCTCCTGGGTCCTCTGCCGGTTCCCCTTCATCAGCAGCTGCATGACCTGGGTGGGGGGAGGGAGCAAGGTCACTCTTGGGGACCCAGGGGATGCTCCCACAGCCTGTATCTGAGAGGTTGGGAAAGGACCCAGGCGGGGGTGGGCCAGCCCTGGTGTGCTGAGGGGCCTGGGGAGGTCAGGGTCTATGTGTACAAGCGGAGGCTGGTTGCCTGGTTAGTCCCCCAGGGTCAGCGTGGCTGGGGCGTGGGGGCAGGGGTGACAGTCCCCCGCTTGCTATCATATAAGACTGTCTGTCTGCTCAGCCCCAGCCCCAGCCCCAGCCCAGCTGAGCAGGCAGCTGCTCCCTGGATCAAGTCCCCTGTCCCTCAGGGGTGAGTGTCCCTCTCCATTGTCCCGGCTGGCTGTACAAGACTTGCCTCTTTGGCATTGATGGTGGAGACCTCAGTGATTCCAGCCACCTGGACCACCCCTTTGGAGTCCTCCCTCAGCTCCAGGTACCCCAGGGCGGGGTTCAGCAGGTCCCGGATCATCTCGTTGTAGATCTGATGGGACGGGATGGGGACAGGCATGAATGGGAGACTAAGGGTGGGAGGTTCAGGCAAGGGCCAGGTTCCCCATCCCTCCCTAGCAAGAAGGGGACAGGAGCTCACCCGTTCTGAGCCCCAGCTCAGGAGCCCCAGGCTCCTCTCAGGGAAACGCTGGTTAAAGAGAAAGACTCTTTCCTTTCTATGGGGTGGGAATGAGGAAGCTTCAGCATCCACAGGGAAATATCGGGCTGTCAGAGCTAAGGGTAGAGGAGGCAGTAGAACTAAGCGGCACTCCCTTTGCAGGCGGGCTGGGCAGTGGGCAGAGGACAGGACCTGATGGACAGCCAGCTCTGCTTGTTGCTAGGCAACCCTCACGCTACTTCTCCCCCTCACCCCAAAGTGCGTCTTGCTGGCTGAGTCAACACCGTGCTGGCTAGAGTGGCTGCTGGCAGCCACGCCTCACTGCCCTTCCTGTGCTGTCACCCAGGAGACTATCAGCTCCTGGAGAGAGCCGGAGCAGCCGGGAGCCAGATGGAGTCCAGCCCGATGGCTCTCCCACCTCTTGTGGCCTCTGCGTGCTCCCACCCAAGCTGTCCCGTCGCTGCTTGGTGGTAGCACTCCCACGGGTGAGCACCAGAGGCTGTGGCTAGGTAGCGAAGGCTGGCAGGTTCAAGCCTGTCCATGTTCTGACCCATACCCATGTACACAGAGTGCCGGGAGGCAGCCTGGCAGGGTAGACAGGGTTGGCTTTAAGGAATGGGCCCATGAGGATGGCGAGGCGGCGAGTTGATTGGGAGGGTGACCGAGCTCTGTGCTCAAGGACAAGGCTACTTTGGGATGTGGCAAAATGGGCAGGGCTCAGCTTGCAAGCCCTAGGGTCCTGAGTTTGAATCCCTGCTCCCTCACTTACTGTGTGACATCCTAGTTGCCTAACCTCTCTGAGCCTCAGGTTTTCGTAAAATGAAGCCAAGAATATGCGTGCAGGAGAGCAGGAGTCATGAGCACCTCAAGGAAACTGCCCAGTGACCTGGCCCCAAGGAAGCCAGTCCCATCCTATGGGCCTCTTGTCCATACCGGGGTCGGGGGAGGGCTCACCTCCAGGTAGGACATGGACACCTCATATTCCATGTCGTTGCTGGTCTCCTCAATGGCGTGGAAGAGGTCATTGAGGGTCCGAACGTAGATGCCGGGCTCGTGGTCTGTGCCCAGCATGGTGTAGGTTTTCCCACAGCCTGGGGCAGAACAGGGTGGTGGGTGAGCAGGGTCGGGCCAGGAGCCAGGCCTTGCTGGGCAGGGGCTCCTGGCAGCCCTGGGTCTGTCCTCAAGGCTGGACCCTCCCAGAGAGCCAGAGAGGTGGGGGTGGGGAGGATGGCTTGGGGGATGGGTAGGGATGGGGCTCTGCGGCTGGAGGGTCTCGGGGGGGTTTGGATCAACCACATCCTTGATTCCCACCTCAGTTGGGCCCAGACCAATTCTGTGATGGAGGGCGAGGGGGCTTGTCCCTCAAGGGGGACACCCGGGGCATGCAGTCGTCTCCCACGCTCTGGGCTCCCCCTCACCTGTGGGGCCATAGGCGAAGACAGTGGCATTATAGCCTGAGATGACGCCTTCAATGAGGCTTTTGGTGGTGGCCTGATACACCATCTCCTGCAGGGAAGAGGAGACCGTCAGGGGCCTGGGGCACAGGCAGGGCAGAACACACACGCCCACTGGCACGTCCTGGGCCCCAGCATAAGTGGTTTCTGTCCCTGGAGCCCTCGGCCCTAGAGAAGTGGGAGTGGGGAGTGGGGGATGCATGTCTCTGCTTTCACCCTGTAGGGGGACGCCAGTCTGAAAGAGAGCTCAGGACACCTGAGACTCCTCCCCCCACAGCTGGCTCCTGGCCCCCAGCCCCAGGGACGCATTCCATCTGCTCCTGGGAGCATCCCGCAGATTCGTGAGTAAGGGGTCCCTGGGAGGGTGTCAGCTTCCCCGAGACTCTCCTCCCAGCACCAGATGGGCTTCAAGGGCCTTCCTCCAGCTCCCACAGGGCCAACTGCAGGGTGTTCTGTGTGGGTGCCTGAGTGTGCACGCTGACCTGGATGTGTCCAGGCAGGAGGCTGTGTGCGCGACATGCAGGCACGCGCACACTTGCATGCATGGGGACGTGGTGGGGTGGAAGCTAGGGAGCAAGTGGTGGAGGGAAGGCTGAGGGTCAGAGGCGGGTCCCCTAAGGGCTCCCTCCTGAGTGAGGCAAAGGGTAGAGAGGGGCTCCTGTGTGTCCCCAGGCCCAGGCCCTCCCTCACCTGGGTGGCAGTGAAGTCAAAGGCCACATCAAACAAGTAGGACTTCTCCCGGGAGCGGTGTGCCCGCAGGATGTCATCAGGGTCCTCCATTGGGTCCATGAGAACCACCATCTGCAAAAGTCCCCGAGGGGGGCCACTGGTCACCTGGGAGCCCCAGGCCCACACCGATGTCAACACTCACCTCACTCGGGCAGGAGTGGGAGGGGCTGGAAGCCAGGCGTCCATGGCCCCAGGCCCAGCCCTGCCCCCATCAGCTCTCCGGGTATCTGGTCTGGGCACTCGGCCCTGGATGCCCAGAGGGGAAGCCTCCCTAACAACTGACAGTGTCCCAAAGGAGCGGAGAGCGCCATGGTGCCCCAGGCCACGTGGGCCCCAGATCTGGGTCTCTTCCTCGAATGGCAACACCGCGCCCCTCGTGCCTCTACCACAGGAGGAGTCGCAGTAACAACGGCTCGCGTTTATTCAACATTTATTTTGTGTCAGGACCTGCTTTAAGCACTTCATGTACATGAACTCGTTAATCCCCACCACAAGGCCAGGCAGTGAGGCCCACCATCCTTCCCACTTTACAGATGAGGAAATCGAGGCCCAAAGAAGGGACTTTCCCAGGCTCACACGCTACTGAGTCAGGGAGCAGGACCCAAAACCCAGGAGCAAGGCCTGCAGACCCTTTACCACCTCACTGCAGCCGTGCCACGCCCGGGACCCTGCCCTGCTGTCCTGTCTCCCCCCCCTTCACCCCTCCTCACCCCTCCACACTCCTCCACGCCCTGCCAGGGGGTAGACCCAGGGGCGGGGTGAAGAGCCCCCTGGGAGGGGGTTAGGGGTGCCTTGCAGTGGCCCTCTGCAGCCTTGAGCCTGAGCTGGGAGTGGAAGGAGCGGCCCCAGGGCTAGAAGCTAGGACAAGGGTACAGGTGGGCCTGCCCCAGCTTAGGCTGCCCTCCCTGCAGGGTAGGGGCATCTGTGCTCTGTGTGTGTGTGTGTGTGTGTATGGTGGGATATACAAGGGGCCTGATCGGACTCTTCCTCTGCTCCATGGGTGACCAAGGGACCCATTTTCCAGAATAATCTCTGCACCCACTCCACGCCCAGCTCCACTCTGCCCCTCTCTTGGTGTCCTGGGTGTGCTCAGCCTGGTCCTGGGCTCTGTGGGGAGACGCAGAGGAAGGAGGCTGGATCCTGGTCGGGGGTTCCTGGCCTAGGATAGGGATGGGGAGAGAGACAGTGCCTGGACTCATGGAAATGCCAGGAAACACTGCAAGAGGCATGAGAGGGCTGGAGTTCGGGGGTAACAGGGAGGAGGGGTAAGTCAGGGCACGGTCTGCATGCCTGTCCTACCTCTCATTAGTGGTGGCCTGTGTGAGCAACCCTGCCCGAGCCTGGGCCTCCTCCTCTGTCAGGTGGGACAGGAGTGCATCTACCTGCGGGGCTCTGAGGAGCCCGTGAGGTAAGGTGTGCGCTGGGCTTGGGCACGGGGCGGGCACACACTGAGTGCTCAAGGGGCTGGGCTCAAGGGGCTGTTAAGAGGGACAACTGGGGTGATGGGACACACACCATGACTCTGCTGTCGGGTCGAGGACGGCAACCCCACGCTCACCGTGGAGGAGCCACCATGATGCCACAGCCTCTGCGCCTGCCCGAGGCCCCTTAGGAGCCGAGCCTCCAGGTTGGGTCCCTGCCCCCGCCCTGGCTGCCCTGTCAAGGTGTCCCCTGAGAGTGGCTGGCACCTTTAAGCCCTGCTCTGTGCCTGGGAGCACCTGGGCTCGCGCCAGACAGCCAGGGGAAAGAAGCCGGGGCTGTGCTCTATGGCTGGACGGTGGTCTCAGCCAGCACAAGCCTCACCGGCCCCCTCACTCCCATGGGGAGGGAAGGTGGTAAAGAGGAAGGGTGTGGGCAGCCTTCGCTCCCTGCCTCCTCCTCCTGGTATGTAATAACAATATCTCACCTTCACTGAGCCCTTTCACATGAATTCATGATTATTATTCTCAGATGGGGAAACTGAGGCACAAAGTCGAGCAGCTAGGAAACGGTAGGGCCAGGGCTGGAGCACTGGTAGTCTGGCTCCCGGGCTGGCACCCTGCCCACCATCCTGCACCTGCTCTCACACACCCGCCCTGGCCCTCTGTTCCCGTGGAGCCTTGCGGGGAGCGGGGCGGTGGGAGGATTTCCTGCCCAGGCCCACAGCGGTAGCCCCATGCCAGGGAGGCCACAGCACCCACTGTGTGTACTAGCCCTACCTAATGTGACCTGGTGATGAGATGCTGGCCACGGAGGTAAACTGAGTCCTAACAGAGGACAAGGCATGAGGAGAACGGCCTGTCCCAGGGCCACCCAAGGTTGCAGAGACAGTGACTGTGCTCCCTTGGTGGGTCAGCAGGGAGCCAGGGCCAGTGACAATCCCGAAAAGGGCTTGAGAACAGACAACGGGTGAGGGGCAGCCACTCCAAGAGGCAGAGGGGCTCACGGCGAGGCAGCAGGAGGCCGACCTGGGAGCCTGGCCCAGCTCTGTGGATTCGGGAGATCTGAAGTGGGTCATTCCTGGTGCACCCCGATGAGCGCCAGGATTTAGGAGGCCCAGTCCTGGGAGGGCCACAGCCTTGGACTCCCACCACGTTCCTCTGAGCAGTCTACGTCCGCCCTTCCCCACCTGGACTCCTGCAGTAGGTCTACACCTGTGCTCACGGCATCCAAACTGGCCCAAGGCCCTTGGGGTCCCAGCAGAGCCCCCTTCTGGGATTCTCAGTGGAGGAGGGAAGGGCGGGGCGTAAGGCAGCTCCCAGGAGCCTGACCCCAGGAGCCTCACCCAGAAGTCTCAGCCAATCGGATGGGATTCCGGGGAAGCCAGGTAGAGGGGACGCTCCAGACAGGCTGGGCTGGCAAAAGAACGGCAAAGAACGAGGCCCCTGGCCCAGGCCCCTCACAGCTTGCCAAAGGCGGAGGGCCACAGTGAGATGAGTGCAGGGCCTCTGGGCCTGTGCTGTCCCCTGGGCTGCCCGGCCACCTCCTCAGGGCTCCAGCTCCAATGTCCTCTAAGCTTCTTCCAGGATCCAGTTCCTGCCTCAGGGCCTAGAGCCGGCAGCAGGAGTGCTGATCGTCAGACCCCGGTGAAGATAAACCCGCCTCCAACTCCCCGGGCGTGGTCCCAGTGGGAGGTAAGAGAACCTGACCAGCCGTTACCAGCTGTCACTCCTCGGATGCTGGTGCTCCTGTGGGCGTGGGCAGGGCCAACGGCCTGAGGGACACCTGGGGTCTGCCAGTGTGGGGCAAAGTGAGCAGCATGCAGTGATGCCCATCACTCACTGATCACCTTCAAATGACCTCCAGGCACTGCCAAGGTCAGGGGACCCTGCGCCTTCGGTGTTTTTGATATCCAGGCTCCTGAATCAGTACACTGTCCGCACGGCTGCCATGATCCCCTCTTAAAGAGGGCTTTGTCTGGTCTCCATCTGCCTGGGCCCCGGCCCGCGCCCCACCCTCCAGAGCATCACCCCATCCCTGTCCACTCTGGCACACAATGGAGCCTCCAGCCCCTCGGCCAGGTGAACCGGAGCTGAGCCATGGAAGGCTGGAGAGGGACGCTCTGAGCTGCACAGGAAGCTCAGGCCAGGAGGACACGTTTGCTGGCACCTGCTACACACCAGGCATTAAGGGAGGCCCCGGGGAGAGAAGGAGACATGTGGCTTCCTGCCTCTGACACTCACAGTCCAGTGGGGAGCAGATCGTTCTAGTAACAGGTGCCGGGCTACAGGAGGCAATGGGAGCACAGAGCAGGGGCGCCTGCTCCAGCCTGACCACTAGAGGAAGGCCTCCTGGAAGAGGTGGCGCCAGCACTGGGTCTTAAAGCATGAGCAGGAGCTGGCTGAGAGGTGTGAGGTGAGGAGAGTGTTCTAGAGAAAAGCATGAGCAAGGCCACGAGGTGAGAGGGCGGCCGTGGGCAGCGTTCTCAGCTCAGAATCACCAGGGGTCTGTGAGAAATGTGGGGTTGGGAAGAGAGCTCAGGATTTCCCCTCCTGTCCTCACCACCAGGAATCTTGGGAGCACAGACCCCAGATGGCGGGCCCTGCTCCACGATGACTGGTATCCTTATAAAAAGGGGAAATGGGGACACAGAAACACATTGAAGGAAGATGATGTGAAAAGACCCACGGAGAAGATGACCGTCTGCAAACGAAGGCTAGGGGCACGCACCAGAGTCTCCCTCACAGCCTCAGAAGGAGCCAACCCTTCGGACATCCGGCCTCCAGAACCACGTGTGAAAGAGGAGATTTCTGTTGTTTATGTCCAGTCTGCGGTCCTTCGAGACAGCAGCCTTTTGAACCAATGCAGCCCCACCCCCAGCCAGGCTGGCCTGCTGCAGTGGGGCGGGTGAGGGTGGGCCCTGGGCGGCCCCTCCCTCAGCCTCCGAGGTGGAGGCTCAGCGGGGGCATTCCCTTGCACAATCCCCAGGTCATAAATCTTTATGCCCACAGCACGCTGAGCACCTGCCTCTGGGAGGTTTCAAGGGGGACGCTGCTCACACAGGAGCACAGGGGCCCTCCCTTGCTGGTGGGGCGGGGGGAAGGTGGGGTCGGGGAGGGTGGGCAGCTTCATGGCAGGCTCTGTCCCCGAGGTTCCAGGCCTCCTTACCCACAAGAGGCCTCACGGCCCCCACTCCCAGGCCCGTTCTTAATTCAACATGGATTTTGCCCTTTCCACGATTCCAGACTTTGAGCCCCGAAACCCAAGATCGGCCAGGGAAGTGAGGGGCTTCAGGCTGGGGGAGGGTGTCTAATCTGTAAACTGTGTTCCCATTAGGGCCCAGACTCCTCCCGGCCTCTCCTAGGTGAGAAACACCGTGAACAAAGCATGTCAGGAGTTCCCCTGCCCCATACCACTAAGCTGCTGGTGCTCAGATCGGCTTCACAGTTTTTTTATTTTTTAATTTTTTTTGTGAGGAAGATTGGCCCTGAGCTAACATCTGTTGCCGATCTTCCTCTTTTTGCTTGAGGAAGATTGTCACTAAGCTAACACCTGTGCCAATCTTCTTCTATTTTATGCGCGACGGTGCCAGGGTGGCTTGATGAGCCATGCTAGGTTGCACGTGGGATCCAAACCTTCGAACCCCAGGCCGC